CGAGGAAGTTTTTTTGAATGTTCAAATGATATATTAAACAAGTCATCATTCCAAACAAGACTATGAAATACTGTTTTGTGCTTGTAAATGTCTCTTTTCTCTAAATCAACCCCTCGTTTCTTTAATGTATTTAAAACTGAAACAATGTTTTTTGCTGGTGAATAACGAGCCACCAAAATTACCTGTGGTTGGCGACTATCAAATAAAGATGTTGTAGCGCGTATATTAAAGACATTAGAGTTTTTCTCTTCTGTTATTTTGTTAGTTTGAACATGAAAACTTTGACTTTTTTCGCTTAGAACATAAGAGCGTTTATTCGTTGCGGTTTCAAAGCTCGCACTACGTGATTTTTCTTTAGGCCTACTATTTGGTAATGGATCAGTGACACCCTAAGAATATTAAATATTGAATTAAAATTGAAAAAATTATCAGAAAATAATAATAATAATAATATACATAACGATAAATAAGGATCAAAGATTAATATTATTTAAACATACAAGTTTTGATCCCGATTGAGTCAAGTAACTTTGGTTGGTAAAACCAATTTCATGAATCGAATTGCGCCAACCTACAACATAATAAAAAATAATGAGTTGGAAAAAAAAAAAAAGAATTAAATTGATACTAACAAAATTAGATTTTAAAGTATTACCAATTGAATCTACTCTTGGAGAAATAAAAGGTGTGGTCACGGGAGCATCAAGAAATGGTAAATTTGGAGGTGATTCAAATTTGAACCGACATTCAGAATCACGTACAGTTGATTCTATATTTATATTTTCAATATTATCTAACATTTGTTCGATGGTTGGACGCTTATTAGGATCCCCATTCCAACAATGTCTATAAAGTTGAACATATTGAAGAGGTGTACCAGGAGTAATTGCTGATTCCCTATCTCCATTCAAAATTAATTGAAGTAGAAGACGAAAATTGGAACCAGTCAATTCAAAAGGAGGTCGACCACTTGACGCCTCATACATAATAACACCCAAACTGTAAATGTCCGATCGTTTATCTCGTTGATAACGTCGATCTTGCAAATACAAAGGTTCAATAAACGAGATCATTCCGTCAAGGGTCAACGTTCCTTGCTCAATATCAGAAAAACAAAAGTTCGTAATCATCATATGACCATCATGTACTAATATATTATCAGGATTCTAAATTAACAAAATGACTATGGTTAACAGCATGTATGGTATGTATGGAGTGAATAAATAATGAAAAAAGTAATTATAAAATTAATAAACCTTACCAAATTTCGATGAGAAATCCCT